TAAAGCTCTTGTAAGAGAACCCATGCAGTTAAAAGAGAATTTTTCAAAACAAACGAATACTCATGTCTCTGCATTGCACATTTTTTAAATGAATCTTTTTATCCAATTTCAATGGAAGAAATACATTTCTTTTAATCTAATATCTTTATTAATTCTAATTGCAATACCATATTAAAATAACAATTAATTATAAATATATATGTTAGCTATACTATATTGTGTTTTTCAGTCAATGTGTTATTTTTTCAATTTAAAAAATTTTTTGAGCGCGTTTTTAAAATTTAAAATTTGATTTTACAGGAAGTGTATAATACCTTGCTAATTTCAGACAATTTTGCTTTTAACCTTTGAGTCATAAATTTATATAAAAAATCTATGGGAAAACGAATATAAATAATAAATTTTCTTTAATTATTAATTTGGATGAATTAAGCATTAATAAAAGATGTGGGTGATTTTTATGATATTGAATGAATTAATAAAACATTAATAAAAGATCTGAATGATTTTTATGATATCATCTTGAGTAATTATTTTTTTTAACACACATATTATTTACTATTTTTTAATTTACAGATTAATGTTAATAACTCTTACTTCCTTTTTTCTATTATTTTTATTCCTGAACACTTCATTATAATATAAAATAAGATATGGCTTTGAATCAAAATAATTATCATTTTTTTAAATTATCTAAGATTCCAATTAATAATAAAAAGTAAGTGAACCCATGTAGTTAAAATAGATTTTTTGAACAGCATATGCTAGATCAGGAATTAGGATCCTTTATTAATTTGTAAATATTAATAAAACTCATAATTCATATATATAAAAACATTTTATTTCATCATTTTGAGAGAAAGGAAAGCTTAAATTTAAAAATGAATATGATAAATAAATTAATTAAAAATATAATAGTTCAGGCCAATAATTTTTTTTCCATTATATAAAACACAATTTCCTTTTTTTTTAAATAAACCTTTATGTTTTCTTGAATTATATGGGGTTATTTTTAATATTTTTTTCATTTTGTAATTTATCTATTCTTCCAAAAAATAAAGAAACTTTTACATGAATTTTAAATTTAAATCATTATATTATAAATTATTTATTCATATTCTGTTGTAAATTAAACCGCTATTTTTGTTATAAAAAAAATATACAAATTAATTTTTAAAAATGCTCCATCTTGCTGAAATTTTCTTATTACTTTATTTTATAAAAATTGTTTAATATTTTTTTACATTATATGAATTTTTATATAATTGTTAATTATTTTTATATTATATCTTTTTGAAAAAATTTATATCTTGCAATTTATATTTATATGCGTATTAAAATAAAGATTGTTTTTTGCAAATGACGATTATTTTAGGCAACTTTTTATTAATAGTTGAGCAATCCTTATTAAGGACTATGGTTTTAACATAAGCATTCTCTTTACTACCCCAGCCTAACCACAATCAAAAAATTTATTTGCTAATAAGCCTCCATTTTGCATTTCTAATGTGATATCATCACCTTTTTTTCTCCAATTAATTTACAAATTTATCTAAATCACCTATTATCTCAAGAATCTCCCTGGGAGCCAGGCTACTTGCAGTCATAAAATAAAACAATTAATAATCTGATAACCAATTCTAACTACCCACAGCACTGAAAAAAATTTTTTTTATTTGACTTTCAAGTCCCATGATAAAAGCAAGCTTTTCTCACTCAACAAATTAAGAATAGACTAAAAGATTTCGATAAAATTTTTATAGGCATAACCTCCGCATTGAATCCATAAATCCCTTTGAGATAAAGGTAAATTTAGCGGGGGAAACCAGTATATGGAAGTGATACTTCACATAGAAACCTACACTCAATTAGCTGTGAAGCACTCTACACAGCAGGTGACTGAATAACCTAGTGCAATTACCACATCTTATCACAGAATTTACTTCAGAGGAAGTTTTAAAAGCGATTTCAACTTCTCAGGAAGGTTCGACACATGACTTTTAGGGCATAAGATCAATCTACCTCCAAGATCTAATCAAGTCTCTTTTAAGTTCTCAAACTACGTCTTGCAGCATGATCTTACGTAGTGAGGTACATCTTCACCCAACCAATTCTGTTGGAGCAAAACTAATAGCCCTCACAAAACCCAACAAAGGACCTACGTTCAATTGTCATAGGCACATCTTTTAGGAGATTAGTATTATTGGCTCAAAATTATTAGAAGGCGCCCACAACTCTCACCTTGACTCAAATTTAGTAAAGAAATTAAAAATATCTTCCAACTAGAGTTTCATTTTTGGTACATAGATAATGGAATAGCGGGAGTCCAGAAGAGATAGCCAAAGCCATAAGAATTTTACAAACGGATGCATAGGCCTACTCCTAAACGTCTACAAAACAAAATTCTGCCAACTTGTCTCCCAATCTCCTAATTGTTCGCCTTCAGATAGGTTATGGCCGAGGTACTAACACTTCTTGGCTTACCAGTTAGAGATTACTTAAGCTGAGGCCTTTTTCCAAGCTACGTTTAATAATTTAAACATGGATAAGCTGCTTATACAGCTTTCGACAATTTCTTCAATATAACTAAGCCTTTATGCTCTCAACGGCTATTTCATATTCAGCACCTTAAAAACATATGAATCCAAATAAATATTATGGAAAAAATAACTAAATATAAGTGTAACTCTAATTCCTAGCTCCAAGTCACCCTGCCCTCTAAGGTGTAGGGTTACGATCACCCATAGCTTATCAATCAGGGGTTTTATCTCGTCCCAAATTGGTAAGCTTCAAAATAATAACTCATCACTTATTCTTGCAAGAGCCACTGCTTGACAAAGTCCACATCATACGAAAGCCTCAGTCGCCTATGAATGTCAATCTTCAGCCTCCCATAAAATATAATTGGAATAATACTATTTCATTTTGACCCTGCTATCTGAGATCATGCCTTGCCTCTCTCAAGAATCTGGTTATGAAGACCTAGAGGCCATTTCATCCAAAAATCATGACCTAGAGCGGTCAGATCAGAAATTCAGTTTCGCAGTGCCCATTTTGATATGACAACCTAGTCATATGAGTGCGATAAATGCAAAAACCATTAAGCCATCTAGCCGCCATTGCCTCCAATGCATCTTTAGTAGTGTATGTTCAATTCGACATATCATATGCAATGCTCTCATCAAACGGATTAACAAGCCGCTGGTTTTTTTACAACTTTACCTATGGGTCTCTTCACTAGTTAGAGGCGGTCCAATAGATTTACATAGATTAGGGGCACAAAAATAGAATTTTTTTATAACCAATCGAATTTAAGAATGAGATGAGTGAATCAAAATTGTATAATTTACTTAAACTAGCTTAATAAAGCAGTTTTCTTTTAAATAGCTTAATTGAAGACCGATTATTTGGAAGTTTATATACTTTTGTTTCTTAACTATTTTATTAACTTCAAAATTTAGCCAAAATCAACTTTGTAATTGATATCTTGAAAAATCGCAAACAAACCTTAACCTTAAAAGTTTCGCTCCTGAACTGCAACCATTATAATTTTTTGCTACTAAGCCATAATCTATATATTAGGTTTAGAGCCCTAATCTTAGGGCAAAGGATTTTAGAAAAATTTGTGGCAAAATGAAGTAAAATATTAGAAAAGAAATAGCTATGCTTTGCTAATTCATATCATATTTGTTTTTATAAATAATTAAGATTTGTAATTTTTGTTTCATGATAATAAATTACAATTAAAAATGTTTATAAATAAGAATTTACAAATATTTGAAAGATACTTGGGAAGGGTAAGTTTTTACCTCTTTTTAAGGAGCCCGCATTCACCCTGCGTGCCTTCCCACTACATGCAAGGTTTTTAAAAAAGTCTTAATAATTTTTTGCGCCACCCGTTATAAATAAATATAGAATGATTGATCACCATATATAAAATATTTAGTGAAATATGATAATATAGTCGGAATATTTAAGTGGCATCCATTGAAAAAATTTACATTAAGTCTAAATTTTGTAGTAGATGCCGTCCCAGGTAAGCATTATATATACTAAAATTACTGAAAGGTCTAGTCTGATATTTAAAAAAAAAATATCCAGGCTTCGCTCATTGTTAAAAATATTTTAAGACGTTGTCCAGAATTAGTTATAAAAAAACAGCGAATGCACAAAAGAGCACATACTTTATGCATATTTAATCGGTGAAATATAATTATTTTTATGTTTCCAAATTAATTCCTTAAATATGAATAAAACAACTAAATATCAATGGATAAAAATTTTTGCTTGGCCTATCAAACTTTCAAATTTTGGAAAATTGATCCAAAAAATTTAAAAAACGTCAGGCTTACTCTAAATAAGAGCCCCCATTAAAAAATTGGTAAGTGAGTAAAATAAATGAACTATATGACCTCATTAATTTCATATAGAATAACCAGGCCATATCAAACCTATGAAAATAATGATAGTCATGCCTCTCTTTAATTTACCCATTTTCTATAAAGTTTAATTATTGGTATAGTTAGTAGAAAAGTGCGATTTAAAGAAATGGTATGGCGGTTAATTCTCTTAAAACAGCTATGATTTGATTCGGAATGTTGAAGAATATAAATAGCTCACTATGAATAATAGCTATAGCTTCATCTCTAGTAAAGTTAAACTCATCTGGTAGTTTACTCCAAACGTTCCCACTATTCGCACTACATATGGCAACCTTTTCTATGGTTTCGGTGTCCAGAAGCCATTTTTTCAAGTGATCTGACCATCTATATTTTGGCATAATATATTAATATTTTTGTGAACAATAATTTTTTCTTAAAATAAGCATGTATTTCTTTTAAAATGACGCATACATTTGTTTATATAATAATGACAAAATTAACCTTTTATGCTAATAATATTATATGATTCATATCTTTTCTCATTTTACATTTTAATGTTTTAAAACGTTATTAAATATTAAATTTTAGTCTTCCATAAATAAGTACATATTCTATACCTAGTTGACAATGAATTTCAAAAATATTGAACATATAAAGACCAATCCAGATTCTAAAAAAATCTTAGAAACAAATGAGAGTAAGCCTACAGCACCCCATGTCGCCCATATAACATCTAATGTTTCTCCAAAATTGGAATCATCTCACTGCAAGCATGAAGAACATCATAAATCTCAATGCGCAATAGATGACACTATACCTGGTACAATTTATACCTTTGATCGCAAGCACAATGGTTGGCAAGAGAGATCTAAAAATAGGAAGGACAATGACTTAATGGTACATACAATTATATGAATAAGAATGTAAAGGAAAAGGAAAAAATAAAAAGAAAAGGAAAAAATAAAAAGAAAAGCCCGAAATCAAACAATTTACATTTATATATATTATATTGAATAAAAATAATTATACGTAGTTCCATTTAGATACAAATGACGGAAAATTTAAGTTCATCAATGAACAAGAAATGTTGGTTAAATGGCAACAAAGATGGCTGGTGAGTTGCTTTTATTATTTTTGAATTTTTAAGTAATTATTTCCAATCGCGGAAATATTATGAGAATTTTTTGTCCATAAATTTTTAATAAAGCCTGAAAAAGGCATAATTAATATTGATTACATATATATAATTGTAAATATTTTGGAAAAATTTATAAAGGGAGAAGATCTCAGAGATTTTGTGAAGGATTATTGTGTATACCAAAGGAAATCTGAAAAATCATCCAAAATATATCCGAATGAAGTGTCACCAGGAAAACATATTTAATTTTTTTTTAATCTTTCATAAATTAAATAAAGTAATATCTTATATAGAGAGCTAATTTTTATGGGGTTTCCAATTTTTTAAAAAAGTTTGAAATTTCAATTAATAATTAAATGTGTCTAATAGGTGTCATTCAAATGTAATATGTTAATATTAGAAAAAATTTTTAAATTAAAGGAAAAAGTTATTTCAATTATAAGGTAGAGTATATGATCAAAAGTTTAAAAAACCGCCATAAAAAAATTTAAAAGCAAAATCAGAGGCAGAAGAATCAAAAGCAAAACACAATTCGTTTTTGATTCCCGAACCGTAATACATTTTTAAGAAACGCTTTATAATTTTCAGGAAATTTAAATTTTACATATTCTTAATAACATTTATTGAAAAGAGGAACGCCAATTATAATATGAAAGAAATTAGAAATATATAATCATAAGAGCAAAATTTTAAAATCAATAATAGTGTTGTAAAAAGATATACGTGAAAAGCATAACATTATTTTTTGCTTTTAGAATAAATTAACGAGAACATATACTTTTAGAATTTAAAATAATATTTTAAAAAAATTATAAAATTTTTATTGTTTAGGAGAAACCGGGGCACTTTGGAAAAAGAGGCACGTTAGTCTATTACAATTTATTTCCAATCTGTCATATAAGAATGAAAATTGAAACCTAATATAGCTAATTGTGTGTGTGTCATACATCATTGGTATATGACATATCCAGGATTTTGTATTCATACCCATTCAAAAGATGGTTGGGTCTATCAAGTTTAACAAAGACTATGGTGCACCCCCACTCACTTCATAGACCCCCCAATATAGGTAAGCACTTCGTTTGGGTAATAATAAAGGGTATTGAGATTAGATATCTGCAAAGTTAGGCCCGGCCTGAGTCCGGGCCTAATTCTATTTATAATAATCGGGTTCGGGCTGGGCCGAGCCTAATATTTAAAAATAATTCGGGCCGGGTCGGGTCGGACCTTGGAATTTTTTTAAAATATATCTAAATTTATCAATTTTATATTGAATTTTTTATGTAAAATAAAAATATTTGATTTTATTTATTGAAACTAAACGACATATAACATATGTCTTTTATTTTGAGTAATTATAAAAATTAATTTCTATATTTAAAAAAATTCGGGCCGGGCCAGAAAAACTTTTTAAAAAAATTTCGGGTTCGGGCCGGGCCGGCAAAACTTTTCTAAAAAAAATTTCGGGCCGGGCAGGGCTTGAAAAATTAGGCCCGATGCATGTCACTAATTGAGATGTATATCCTATTTTGCTTAAAATCTAAATACTGATCGTTAAATTAATTGGGGTTGGGCAGAGGTAGAGGTAGCTTTAGCTTAGATACCAATTATCCAATAATTGTTCAATCAAATTAATGAGGCGAAATATTTGATTTCATTCTATATTTTTTTACTTTTCGCCTACGATTTTTTTAGTTATGGTAAGATTTTAAACGTACATAATGAATGAGTGGCGGGTTCTAAAAATTTAATGTTAACTACCTTTGCCCGAGGAAACTATGTACTAATGTGTTACATGTGGAGGAGAATAAAAAGGAGTTGAAGGCTAAGTACATACTAGAGAGTGTGAGCGAGTGCATAAATATCAAAAGATAGCAAGTCAAAAATCGAGCGTTAAAGATCAATACCGAAAATTTAGATATATCGAGCATTCGCAACAAATGTATTCTGCTTTAATTAAATTAGATATATCGAGCGTTCGCACATTAACAAATGTATTCTGTTTATTAATTAAATTAATTTGGTATATATAACCATATCTTTAAGTGATAGGTGAATATATAATATATTTTACCAGATGCTTAATTCCTCAAAGGTTAAATGCTAGAACTCTCTGGTTCATAAAAGATGTTGAAACAAAATTTATAAATAAAATGAAGACAAATGGGTTTTACTAACCGTTAAAACTGAAAATTATATGGCATTTAGATTTTTTAATGAGATCTGTCACATCACCGAAACGGGTCTCGTAAATTATGCCATATGCTAAAAAAGATTTGAAAAATATGTATTCTTTTATTTTTATAATGAAAGTAAAAAAAATGCAAACATCATTTGTATTTATAAATAACACTCTAATGTCTGAATAAATAAATTTTAGGAAAATTTAAGCTCTAGGACTGTCAATTAGCGATCTGCATCGGGCCTAATTTTTCAAGCCCGGCCCAGCCCGAAATTTTTTTTAGAAAAGTTTTGCCGGCCCGTCCCGAACCCGAAATCTTTTTAAAAAGTTTTGCCGGCCCGGCCCGAATTTATTTAAATATAGAAATTAATCTTTATAATTACTCAAAATAAAAGATATATGTTATATATCGTTTAGTTTCAATAAATAAAATAAAATATTTTTATTTTACATAAAAAATTCAATATAAAATTGATAAATTTAGATATATCTAAAAAAAATTCCAAGGTCCGACCCGACCCGGCCCAAATTTTTTTTAAATCTTAGGCCCTGCCCGAACCCGATTATTTTAAATTCGGGCCGGGGGCCGCACTCGGGCCGGGCCTAACTTTGCAGATCTCTACTGTCAATCATGAATTAGTATAAATTAATTATGAGGTACATTTTCATTTTTACAAAAATTTATAAATTTATTGCTTATTATCAATAAATTATGAAGTCTTATAAAAAATATAAAAAGTTTAATTTTATATCCTTTGAATATTAAAATGTATTTGACGAACCCAGTGGCATAACTATTTAAATTATATGGGTTAATTATTACGTTGGTCAAAAGATATTTTATTATGTGATCCCACGGGCCACAAATTATAACTTTGATCACCAATAAAATATGAAAATCCTCTTAAAGCAAAAAAAAAATTTCCTAAGTTACAGATTCTTCTAGAAAATCAAAATTATCAGAAAAACTTAAAATTTATTAAAATTTAATATTTTCCAAAAAAATAATCGAAAATTTAATAAAATAAAGATAGGACACTATGATTGTAAAAAACTTTTAATTTTGAAAAAGACACTATATTTGAATGAATAACAGATTAGAGGTCTGCTGCATTGAGCGGGATTTTGGACCATAAGCCAGCCCACCCAATGTTTTAAAAATTTTTAACCTGTCGGCCCATCCTACCCATAGTTTTCAAAAAATAAATACCCGCCCGCCCATTAGTCACAATTTTTTTACCCGCCACCCAGTATTTATATAAATTTTAACCCAACCGCTATTATAAAATTTAATTATGGCCATTTTTTCAATTTTTTAGCATCTAATAAATAAAATTCAGCATTACACCTCTACAAAAAGTTTTATAATTTAGGAAATTATTATATTAAGCATAAAAAAATATTCAATTTAAATTATGGATGATTTATTTGATCAAATAAAATATTTATGAAAAAAATATAAATATATAATTGATATTATATGTAATTATAACGCAAAAATAATATTAAATCAACATTTTCTGGTTCAAATACGTTACTTTTTTCTAAAAACCTTTTTAGCAATGCTAAATCCTTGTTCAGAAGAAGCACTAGTTGCAGTAATTGCCAATCTTTTTCTTGCTATTCTTGATAGCTTTGGCATATCTCTTTCTTGTGGTTTCCTCCAAAGTAGTTTTAAATATACAAAAAAGTTTATTTATTTTAAGAAAAAACTTTTTATGATACCAAAAAAGGACATTTTAATTTTTAATATCCAAATAAGTTCATAAGAATAATTTTTTATTAATATTTACTTAAAAGATTTTAAATTACCCTCCTGCCCATTGTTAATTTCTTAACCCGCCCACTCATAGTTTAAAACTTTTTTAACCCGCCCGCCCACCTTCCCGTTCTCAAAAAAATTTTGCCTGCCCACCGTCGGCCCACTAAGATGGGCTGGCATGGGCGGGCCGAAACCCCGTCCAATGCAGACCTCTATAATAGATACATGACAATGCAAATAGCCACTATACGGCTTGAAAAGGACATTAATGACTAAAAATGATATAAAACGTTTAAATTTCTAAACATACTATATTGTAAGAATAGATAACCTTTTTACTCATATAATATCCTTTTCAAGCACACAGTGCCCTTTTTTAATACTGATTAGACCATGAGAAAATATTCTGACTTTAAAAAATATGCTATGCGAATAAAAATTGTATAATTGGAAAATTAAATGTAGTGTCGAATATAAGCGAATAAGGCCTAGGGTTCACTTCTTTAATGCTGTGAAAACACTTTCAAAGTTAAAAAATAAGCAACTAACTTTGTACCTTTATGATTAAATGCGCTATAAAAAAATTCTTAAAAAAAACGTAAGAATAAGAAGTATTTAAATAATATGGCTGTTAGGAGCATGTAAAAAGGATGTTAATCAAGTTGCTGATGACGCGCCAAGCATAAGATCCGCTGTAAAGAATAAGCAATACAATATGAGTACAAAAATTAAAATATTATCTCAGTAATTTATTAATTTCAATCATAACTTGCACAAGATATAAATATATTTGTTTAATTAAATTTAAAATACTAATCAAGGCCTGTGGATCAGGGGCGTCGTTAGCCTTTACAATCTCAGGGGGCTCAACTAAAAAAATATTTACGGGGGACGAAGCCCCTAAACCCTCTAATTTGCGGGCCTTCGGTGCGCTTTTGCCCGGGCTTCTAGATCTAGAAAAGGCTTTCGATAGAATCCCAAGAAAACTTATTTGGTGGGCGCTACGCCACAAAAAGGTTCCCGAAAAATATATAAGAATAATACATGATATGTATATGGGCCATACAACAATGGTCCGTAGCACAATAGGTACTTCAGCAGGCTTCACAATAGCCGAAGGAGGTCATCAAGGGTCGGCTCTCAGCCCACTATTCTTCATTACAGTAATAGATGTATTAGCACGGTCTATACCTCAAACAGTCCTGTGGAATATGATATTTACAGATGATATTGTGATACTTGCCGAATCTAAGGATGAAATGTGAGTTGGATAAATATCCTAGAAACGCACGGATTAAAAGT